TTCTTCCTTTTAGAACTTTCTTGCTATTGGTAGAAAAGATGAATTCATAACTTTGGTCACTGAAAGTCAAATTTTTACTTGAAGAAAATATTTATAAGAGGAAGAGGGAGATAAAGATGACTCTTGAAATGTTATTTCAAGTTGGTTTAAGGAAAGTGATAAGACTTTATTAGTCAAGAAATATAAAAATTTCTTGCAAACATCTTTTTTATATATGGACAAAGGATCAGCGGAAAAAGTTTGATATAAAAATAATAAGTTTATTTCTTATTATTTAATATTATTTAATATAATTTTGATAACTTTTCTATTAATTCTCTGATTATACATAAAAAAGATGTTCATAAGAAATTTTTATATTTTTTTTGATAATAAAGTTTTAATTCTTTCATTAAAATAACTTGTAGTATAACTCCAAGAGTCACTTCTATATTTCCTTTCTTGTTTATAAACCTCTTTATCCAAAACTTGATTTTTATAGACTAAGAAAAGTCAAGTAACACCTTTTGATATCAATGATAAGAAAGTTATTAAAGGAAAAAAAATTAACTATAAAGTATATAGAAATATTTCTAACCTTTGAAATAAAAGGTTTATAAAGATTTTGTTGAAATTAAAAGGCTTATTTTCTTCATTTTTAACTATCTTAGCTCTTTTAGAGCATCAATTTTATAGTTTTTTAAGGAATTTTCTTACCTTAGTTTGACTTTGAATTTTTGATAGCACAAATTCTTACTAAAAATAATTGACTAATATAAAATTTGTTAGTTTTGGAAATATAAACAATTTCCTATTAATTATATTTATATATTTCAATAATGTCATTAGTGATTAAAAAAAAAAGTCTATAAAAAAAGTTTCTTGAAACTAAACAAGTTTTTAAGAAAGACAGTTATAATATTAAAAGATAAATAAAGAATATGAAATATTGTATTCCTATTTTTTAATTAAGTCTCTTAAGTAGTAAAAATACTTTTTCAAAAAGAAAATTGAGATCTTCAGGCTTTTATACTAGTCAAGCAAAGTTTCTATAAAGGCTTTTTTATTCTAGTTAGACTAACTCTATGATAATATAGTGTTAGTATCAGTGGTATAATAAACAAATTCATATATCAGTAGAAGAATAAGTTTCTCAAACATTCTTTTTAAAGTCTCAATACTTAGAAATGGTTAAGTTTTTTAGATAGTTTGAAGTTCAAATAATATTTTAATCAGGTTGATCTATTTAAGAAAAAGCTATTTATTTAAATAAGAACTTTTTAAAAAATTGTAAATTGTTTTCTTTTCTTTTTCTCATGTTTTCAATATGTAATTCAAGAATTTATTATTTTTAAGATAATCTATAGTAACAAATTATAGTTGATAATTCTGATAAATATAATATTGTTTCTTAAATCTGACTTAGAATATCTAGTTTAGACTTTGTTTTATTTAATATAAACTAACTTAGTAAATTACTTATATTTTTAAGTAGTATAGTTCTTTAACTAATAATATATAAAGATAAGTAAACCCATAAATCTATAATGTAGTGGTAGTACTTCTAGGTCGCAATTACAAGGTCCAAAATTCAATACTATATAAGAGCCAAGTGAAAAATACTATATTATAATAAATTTATTACTTTATCAAATAATAGTAAATGTAATTGGGTATAGATCTGGTTATTTTGCTGATAATTGAAATAAAAGAATCTGCTACTACACAGTGTCACCTATAGCTAATTTTTACTGGATCAGGCTAATTTACAGGTATTGTGAAATGATAAGTATCTTATTAATATTCTAATAAAATAGAAATAGATAAAAATGTTCTTATGATCAAATAGAATAAAAACTGGACTGGCACCAGGTATTTTGATAATTTTATTGATTACAAGAAGTTGTCACAAGTCAGGAAGGTTGAAATTCTGAAGAGAAAAATATTGTACTAGTAGGATACTTAAATGTATAGTCAGTTGCTGTAGTTTATTATTAGTAAACCTTGATGAAAAAGAAATTTACAAATTATGTTGAAGTCCCAAATCCCAGTTAGAGTAAATAAAATAGTATGATAACTAAATTACTCTATAAAATTGTTTTAGGAAAAATTAAGAGAGCATCATGTGATTTCCCTTAACAGGCTAGTTGGTATATATAGTATGTAATACATTAACCATATATAAAATTATCATATATACAATATTATTTCTAAGTAAATAAAAATCACAAGCTTCATCAGCACATTTCATGGCAGAAAATATCCAACAAGGAAAAGATCCAATACACACACAAGCACACTTACTGATATAGGAAGTACTTAAAAAACCGAATAGCCAGTAATACTCACAGCACATATCTTCAAGCAAAATCTGCTTAACTTTTATTTCAACAAAAAAATTGAAATACCAAAACCAATTCGAAAGACAATCAAAACAATCTACAGGCCACACATACTCACAACTGGGCTCACCTAGAACGAAATCAAACAACAATACGAAGAGAATATATCTCCTGTCAAAAATTCAGTAATAAAGAATGTACAGTATATAATACGATCGACGTCCGGATTAGATATTTTCAATAAACACGTGATTATAGCTATTTACCTGTTGTACAATCTAGATTTGAAAATATATATTTCAACGCAGGAAAAGGAAAAAAATGATAGCAATTGGGTTGGAGGGTTCCGCGAATAAATTAGGAGTCGGTATCATCGAGCATGACCCTGAAACTGGAAAAGTAACTGTTTTGGCCAATATTCGCCATACGCATGTTACGCCTCCAGGTACAGGCTTCTTGCCCAGAGATACTGCGACCCATCATCGAGAACATGTCATCTCGGTGATTCAGGAAGCCCTTAAGACCGCAAATATTAAAGTTAAAGATATTGATTGTATATGTTACACAAAAGGTAATAACCAAATATTAGAGTAATGGAGTTGTGATGCATTAACCGAAGACGTCTTGATGAAAATTAGGGCCGGGAATGGGTGCACCTCTAGTTTCTGTAGCTGTAGTCGCTAGAACTTTGGCATTATTGTGGGATAAACCAATAGTTGCTGTCAATCATTGTATAGGACGTAGGTATCGGATTGCGGGTTTTTTGAAATATATATATATATATTTCTAAATGATAAATCATTACGTACCATAGATATTGAAATGGGAAGAGAAATTACTGGTGCTAATAATCCAGTAGTTTTATACGTGAGTGGTGGAAACACGCAGGTAATTGCCTACTCTGAACATAGGTATAGTATGATATTAAAGTCTTCTCATACGATACGGTCAGACCTCTCCAAATGTATCTCGTCAGGGCAGTTTAAGGAAATTATGTTTTTTGGAACAAAATCGGATCTCATACAGAAAGAGTACAAATTTGGGGTACTCGGTATGGGAGGTCTGTTTTTGTTTGAATAATTGATAATTCACTACTCACCCATCTCTTAACAATAGATACCGAATTTTTGGAGAAACATTAGACATAGCGGTTGGTAATTGTCTCGATAGATTCGCAAGAATACTAAATTTGCCAAACGACCCTAGTCCGGGATATAACATTGAACAATACGCAAAAAGGTAGATACATTGCTTTATTAAACCTTGATGATTATAAAATAGTTAAGATGATTTTGAATAAATTTATTAAAATTATGAGTATTGGGTAAAATTGTAATTATATCAGAGGCACCAAATTTATCGAATTGCCGTATACAGTTAAAGGAATGGATGTTTCGTTTTCAGGAATTTTATCTAATATCGAAGCAATAGCGAATGAACAACTTTCCACTGGGCATGTTACTCCTGAAGACCTTTGCTATTCTTTGCAGGAGACACTTTTTGCAATGTTAGTAGAGACAACTGAACGGGCGATGGCACATATTGGAAGTCGAGAAGTTCTGATTGTAGGTGGTGTTGGATGTGAGTAATTATACATGTGTTTTGACGTTTTTATAAATACTATATATCTTTAACAATTTAGGTAACTTGCGATTACAAGAGATGATGGCTCAGATGGCAGATCAACGTGATGGAAAAGTGTTCGCTACAGATGAAAGGTAATCGAAGTTTTATATGTTAAGTTACCTCTCACGTCATTTATATCTTCAATAATTCATGATCATATGTTGTCTAGATTTTGCATTGATAATGGAATAATGATTGCTCATGCTGGGATGCTTGCATTCAGGACAGGTTACACTACACCATTGGAGGAAGCCGCGTGTACTCAAAGGTATTATTGCATCAAATTATTAAATTCTGTGATTTATTATACATTGTAATTATCTTCTATATGTTAGATTTAGGACGGATGAAGTTTACATTTCTTGGAGAGAAGCAAATTAAGGTACTAATCAGATATGCCTTAGTTTAATTCGAATTTTATCTAAATATTTTATCAACAGCGAACTCTGATTATTAAAAGAATGAACATTGGAAAGAATAATTAGATAATTTCAATAAAATTGAAAAATTGAACATTCTTGATTTCAAATATGGAGTTTATTACCGTATGTATTTCGGCAGTTATTTTTGTTATTCAAAATTAAGAATTTATGAAGACAAACATCAATTTAGAATTATGCGGTAATTCTTAAAAATTTTTTTAAAATGATCAGTAATATCTTAATGGGCTTACGTTTTTTAATCCGAGATTTCAACTTTATAGTACCTTTTTTTCGAACTTTAAAATATTTGTTTCTCAATTGATTGAGATTTTAATAGGTAATTTCTATAGATAAAATATTATGGTATTTTTTTTTATGTTTGATATTAAAATTTGTTAAATTAATTTTAATAAGCACTAAAGTTTGTTAGTAATTAATATATGTACTAAAAATATAAAGTAATCATTAATACTAATTGCATAAAATTTCATAACTTAAACCTTTTGTACTACTAAAAACATTAAATATATTTAAATATTATATTTTTATATAATAATTCGACTATTTTTATTAATCAAAACATTTGCTTTAATTTGAATTTAAAAAAAGAATCGAATGTTTTTTTAACCAATTAATGACATAATAATTATAGTTTTTTTTTGATATGCTGATTTTATATTTTTTAGGATTTTTTAACTTATATTTAACCAATTTAATACATTTTAGTCTGGTTTGATTTTACTTCTTATTAATTATATCAACATGACATGATTTTTTTGTTTATAATTCATAGGCAAGAAATAAAGTTTAATGCTTATTAATAAATTAAATACTTAAATAAATATTTATATATTTAGTATAATATATATTATAGCTAAATTTTTATACAAATTTTATTAACGTGTTATTAATATAAAAAGTTTTTGAGTTTAACTTTAAAAACAATTTAATATTTTATAATAAATTTTTAATAAGTATTTTTATTTCTATATTATTATTAATAAACTATTATTGTAATTGTTTTATCAAAATATTAAATATAAAAAATTTTATAAGAGAATAAATAAATAAATAAATATATATAAACATATTATAAAAATAGAGTAATGATACAGTATATGAAAAAACTCTTTTCATTGATCCTCTGACTATATAAAAAAATATTTGTAAGAAATTTTATACTTCTTTACTAATAAAATCTTTATACTTTCATTAAAACAACTTAAGGCTTGTCTTCATGTATTTTTCCTATTCTCCCTTACTTGCTTATAATCTCCTTTAAATAAAAACTTGGATCTTTAGTGATCTGAAAAAACTCAAGTATGCACTTCTTTTACTAAAGATAAAAAAGTTCTAGGAAGTAAAAGGACTGATAGTGAAGTGTTACCTTACAGAGCTAAAATGACAGAAAATAGAGATTTTGTCAATAGGCGAAAGCTTATTATTTACCTTCGCATGATTTTTGTTCCCCTTAAAGTATTTACTATTTTTCGTGATTTTCCTGAGGGATTTTATCTATCTCAGTTTGACCCTGAATTTTTGGTAGCACAATATTATTAGGCTTTTGATTGATTGACATAAAACATGTTAGTAACTGGATGTAAACAAGCCCCTACTGGTCACCTTACATATTCTAATAATGTCATTGGTGATTAAAAGAATTAATTGGTGCCCATGTCTAACTCACTTCTTTAATTGAATTAATCTATAGATCAAGTTCCATAAGGCAAATAATATATAAGCAACAAGTCTCCAGATAATAAAAAAGCTGCTATTTGTTCAAGCTGTGATCTTTCTCTTCTATTATCCTGATAATATAAAGTTCAAGATCAAGATCTTCTTTTTATTCTGGTTAGGCAATAGAACCAAATGATTTCTAGTCCATACTAAGTTTCAACCCTTTGGTTACTGTCAAAAATACATTTTTCCAGAAGTTGTTAAAGGATATCACAATCAACTAAAATCTCTATTACTTTTGAGACCCTCCTATTATTACAAAGCAAAAGAATTATTGGGAAATCTGACTTTTTGGATAATGACAATATATATTAGTAAAATTCTTTTAATTAGATATAGCTGCTAGAAAGTATTATACCAAAACAATATGATCAATTTCTACTAGATTATATAAGAATCTGGAATCCATCATAAGTTACCTCCCTATTGCAAATAAATAAAAAATTACTGTCCAAAAAAAGTTAAGATTAAGTATGTCCTGAAAATAAAGGCTTCCACTAGGTAATAAGTCTCCTTAGATGGTACATAAGAAGAAAATCAAGATCAAGAATGAATAAGTTCTTTAGATGGTCAGAAAAAGAAAGAATATCCCAATTGGCATTTCTTATTGAAAAGAGGTCTTGAGAAGCAGGTCTTTGGAGGAAGCTAAAATATTTTTTTTTCAAAATTTTTTTTCATTTTCTTGTTATCTGTTTAGATATTTTTAAATATCCCACTTTTCTTTTTTTCAACCCATCTTTTTATAGTTTTCTGTATTCCAGAAACTTGATATGACATACAATAATAACAACTTGCTGGCAATAATACAGTAAACTAAAAGAGTCTTTACTCAAAGACACTATGAAATGAAATATTGTTCCCAAGGTTGAACTTAGAGGTTTTTATACTTATTATGAATTAATTAGATTAGAATTAATAGTTTGGTTTATTGAAATATGACACAGTTTCTACTGAATTACATAAGAATCTAGAGTTTGCTATATGTCATATATCTACTATAGATGGATAAAAATTACTGTTCAAAAAAAGTTGGAACCAAGTATGTCCTAGAACTAAAGACTTTTATTAGACAATAAGTCTTTTTAAATAATATACAAGAAAAATTAAAATAAAAAATAGATAGATTTCTTGGATTTTCAGAAAAAGAAAGAATATCTCAATAGAATGTTTCTTATTAAAAAGAAGTCTTAAGAAGTATATCTTTAGAAAAAACTACAGAATTTTTTTTTCATATTCATTTTCTGGCAGTCCATTTGAATATTTTTAGATATTTATTTTTTTCTTTTATTAATCCATTCTTTTATAGTTTCCTATTTCAGTAGCTTGATAGGATATTTGTCAATGACAATATACTAGCAATAAAGTAATAGACTAGAAGGGTTTTTACCAAAATCTGTTATAAAGTGAAATATTATCTCCAAGGCCAAACTTAAAGACTATTATTGCTTACAATGAATTAATAGATTTAAAATTGATGTTTAACTATAGTATATATTATGTTGCTCAAGTAAAAATATATTTATATTTTAGTTAATTAATAAACTATAATCTAGTTTGGCTATAGGTATACAAAAAATATATATATATATAAATAGAGTAAAGAAAAATATAAAAAAAGATTTAGTTTAACAAAAAAAAAACTCTTTGTACAAATCTCTCAGATTCTTAGAAATTTCCTTTTTAGGCAATTTATCCAAAGAAAGAGAACCATCTCTATTAAAAACACATATTCTTGCAACATCAGCATACAACAGTTATTTTAGCACAAAACAACATTTCATATATAGCCCTAGAACAGTAGATTGTTGGAAAATATATATATACAACAACAACTTTAACCTTTTCTCCTTTTTAAAAAGAAGAAAGAAAACCAACATAAACTAATTCACAGTCAGAAAAGGGGAACCAATATCAACTTCACAGAGCTTGCAGCTAGGCCAGTACAGGTTACACCTTTCTTAACACTACAAGGAATCTTAAAGCAAATAAGTTTGCTTGATAAATCAAGCAAACCTCAAATTCTTCAAGATTCAAAAGGACATCAAAGCTTCCCAAGATCCAAATAGCCTAACGTATATATTCTATCTCAACACACACCGAAACACATTACCAGAGTAGTGTGATTACATATACATATATAAAGCTGTTGTCAAAACAAGTTTAACAAAAGTCCAACACAATAGCACAACAAGTGTAACTTAAATTGGTAAGATCATTAAACATAACCAACATAATAGAAAGTGATCGATATAAATAGAGTGTCAGGGGTCTGTAAAAAACACAACAAAGTCAGTATAAACAGATAAACAATCTAAGCAAAAAAGGAGAAATAACACATACCTAATAAAACAAGATTAAGACACATATAAAACAAGATTATAGTTAAAAAACAACAAGCATTATATATAAAAGCTTGTCAACAATTACTAAAATAGCACTAAGGACACATATTAATCTACTTATATGACTATTCATAATACAATAGAACAATATGACAATAATATCAATCCACACATATATCCTATCATGAATAAAGCAAATTAGATACTTCAGATAGTAAACAATAGAGAAGACGATATTATTGACACACTAGTCCAATTGACAAAAAAGCATGATGAAACAGGCAAACTATAGGCTATGCAACAAATTGCCAAACAAAAAGGTATAATCAATAACAATAGTGTGATGGGAAATACTCCAGAAATATGTATCATACTGGACAACATTATTGCCAAAATTCTAACAATAAATAATACAACATTCTACAAGGAACGAATCCTTATACAATATATCACATTTCTTTGGTATAAAGGAAAGAAAAAGAAAGAGGATCTACTTTAATCTTATATATAAGATAGATACCTGGACATAATCAAAGAAAAGCCAACAAAAATACCATCCATTTTAATAGAGATCACTATTGATATAGAAAATGAA